ATTGTGTAAGACTGCTGAATCACAGATCTGTACCTCTGAAACAAATAATACATTATATGTTAAAAAAGAAGAAGAAGAAGAAGAAGATAGCAGGAAGGAAAGAATGAAAGGGGGGTAATCAGAGGGGGAGACGAACCATGAGAGACGATGGACTCTGAGAAACAGAGGGTTCTAGAGAGGATGGGGATGGGGGGATGGGTTAGCCTGGTGATGGGTATTAAAGAGGGCATGTACTGCATGGAGCACTGGGTGTTATATGCTAACAATGAATCATGGAACACTACATCAAAACTAATGATGTAATGTATGGTGTTTAACATAACATAATAAAAAAAGAAAAAAAAGAATTTATACAACTCAATAGTGGGTAAAAAATCTCATTCAAAAAATGGGCAGAGGAACTGAATAGACATTTTTCCAAAGAAAACATAAAAAATGGCGAACAGGTATATAAAGAGATGCTCATGGGGCACCTGGGTGGCTCAGTCAGTTAAGGGTCCAACTCTTGATTTCGACTCAGGTCATGATCTCAGGATCATGGTATCAAGCCTCACCTTGGGCTCTGAGCTCGGCAGGGAATTTGTTTGGGATTGTCTCTCTCTCCCTCTGCCCCTCTCCCTGCTCATGCTCTCTCTCTCTCTTTCAGCTAAATCTTTTTTTAAAATGGTGCTCAACTTCACTAATCATCAGGAAAATGCAAATCAAAATCACAATGGGATATTGCCTTACACCCGTTAGAATGTGTATCATCAAAAAGACAAGAAATCACAAGTGTTGGAGAGGATGTGGAAAAAGAGGAAACCTTGTGCACTACTGATGGGAATGTAAATTGGTACGGTCACTGTGCAGGTTCCTCAAAAAATTAAAAATAGAACTACCATATGATCCAGCAATCCCACTTCCGGGTATATATTCAAATGAAATTAAAATAGGATCTTGAAAAGATCTTCTCACCACAAAAAGGAAATGGTAATTATGTGACATGATGGAGATGTTAACCAACGCTGTAGTCATAATCATTTTGAAATTTAAGTGTATCAAATCAACATACTGTGTACCTTAAGCTCACACAGTGTTGTCAATTATATACTAATAAAGGTTAAATACATATGTAACTCATACACACATACAACCAAAGCCCCAAGCCTGTACATCAGAGAAAACAAATGCCTGTACATCTGCAAAAAGTGGCAGCCGCTCCTGGGATGCTCTAAGTTCTGAGTTAGCAGATAAGGAGGGCCCTAAAAGGGCCTGAAGACAAACTCTTGGGGTAGTTTGTCAAGCCCCCCGCCATTCCCCCCACAAAGGACCATCCAAGAGATCAGTCCTTCCCTGTAAGCAGGTAGTAGAACAGTTATGTCATCAGCCCCCAGGAGGGGCAGTGAGTGTGGGTTCTTGGACAGGACCCTGATTAAAAAGTGAAGTCTCCACTTCGCTTTACAGGAATCCTCCCACCCTTCCTGTAGTCACGGGAAGCAGTCTGTGATAAGCAGATGCAACATTCAGACATGCTAAGCGGAACTCCCACATTCAGAAATCAGTACCCCCAACTGTAAGAGGAGGGGTCATATGGGCGCAGGCCGGAGTTCCATGCCCACCAGCTTCCTGGTGGTGGTGCTCATGGAGGCACGGTGGACATCAGCCAGGTTGAAGCAGGAGACAAGCCCCCCACACACATACCCCACAGCAGGGCAAGCCTGACTGCCCGAGCCTGGGAGATGGAAGCCGCAGAAAAAACAGCCCTTGCTTCAACGATGCGGAGGTGGACAGACAGTTTCTTTGAAGGAAAGAACATGGCGCTTTCTGAGGAGGAAAAGAGCAGCAACGCCACGGAGCGACAAGCTGGGCAACTACGCCGACAAGGCCAAGCGTAACGCTGCAGGAGGACAACAGGAGGACAACAGGAGGCTGGCGGCCAACAGCCCGCGCATGCGCACCTTCACGGACACGACCTGTCCTGCCTCCAGCACATTCTCGCGAGATGCTGTTCCTGCGCCTGACGTGATTTGGGGTGGCGGCCGGCGGCCTGAATTCCTCCTTCCTCGTGTTCCTGTGTTGCGCTTGCGGGAATGACCGTCGCTAGTCCCCGGGGTGTGGAGTCTTTGGGGCAGCGACAGTTGGACATCAGGGGACTGTCCATGTGGACACCTGCGGGCTCTCCAGGGTCCGCCACACTGAAACCCCAGCGCTGCCTGAGCAGACTCCTACCGCAAGGGCAACCACCTCAGGAAAGCTGGTGCGAACGCTTTGAAGTTGGGTTGCCCCGGGCGGGCGGGTGAAAACTATGGATCCGGTGGGAAGGCCTCTTGCATAACCGCATCTGCGGAAGTACGGAGGGTGTGCACCCGGTGGCCGAGGGCTTTCGCGGGCGCTCTCACCACTCGTGAGCCTCCTGCGTTATGGTAAGATCTTCTTCCAGTATGGAAGCACCTGGGCGTCTCACGGAAGGAAGGGACCCACGCCAGTGACTTGTTCAGCCTCAGACCCCCGCTCGCCACACACCCGAGACCAGCCTCTTAGCCTCCACAGGCCTGCGTCCCATCCTGCGTGGTTAACACGGATGGGACGCAGGCCTGCCTTCCACTGCTGTGTTGCGTCTGGTTTAGCCTCTGAATGTACCTTAACGCCTGCTCCACCTGCCTCTTTCCTACTTTATTCTTGCTATGTGGACGGTTATTCGCATGTTCTGGTCCACCAAGTGTCACCTGGAGACATTCTGTCTGAAATATTCAAACAATACAGATGAGCGAGAGTCCCCTAGACTTGGCCACCCTGCCTGTTCCCTGGTTGTGTCCTGGCCGCCCTGGGGGTCTTTCCCTGTGCCCCCACCTGCAGCCTGCAGTCTTTGCAGGCTGTGGTATGCCCATCTAAATAGTGTCACCTCGTTCTTCCTGTTCCATGACATTTCTTTCACTTAGGAGTCTGGAAGTTATCCTTGGAGTAATTGCCACCACCACCACCATCAACAACAACAACAAAAGGATACAAACCAATAAAAAAAAAAGGGGGGGTCACAGATCCAGTAATCACTAGTAATTTGAGGAAAACAAATATCATAAAAGAAGCATCACTGTTTAAATTGAAAAACGTATACACAAGTGTGACTGACTTGCTAGTTGCCTACCCAATATCCATTCTCCCTTTCTTCCTTACTACCAGAATTTTGATTGAATGACTTAACAAAACTCTACCTCTCAACCATGTCAGAAGAAACATATCTGGCCAGTGAGATAGAAGTCTGCTGGGTATTTCTGGGTAAGTTTTGCTTTCCTAATTGTAACAGAGCTGTCCAGTTGTCTCCTAACATTCATTCTTCTCTTCTTTATTCTTGTTAGGACCCCCGATTTTAGCCCGTCTATGGCTGCCTAAGGGGTAGGGGGAGACTCCCTAGCAGCTAAGTGTGGTCACATAACTAAGTTCTAGCCGTTTTCTTGCTAGCTGGAGTAAAGAAATGATGACTAGATCTTGAGCAACCATACTGGATCACATTAAAGGAGCCACATATTTTATATGGCAGAACAAAAAGAAAAGGAGCCCAGGTTTCTGACATCATGTGGAATATCAGCTCTAGACCACTGACATCCAGATTTCATTAATACAATTTTCATCTTTAAGTCATAATTTTGGATTTTGTCAAATGCATCTGTTATACTAATATGGACACCAATCCTTCCTCTTCATTCTGTCTTTCCTTTTCTGGCCTGTAATACATACCCAATGCTTGGAGGTGCAATAGTCATGAAGCCACATTCTCAAAATGTTAGGATAAAAGGATAGAAGAAAAATATATATAATTTTTAAAAAAAAAAAGGGGAGGAGCCTAGTCCCTGGATGACAACTCTAGATATTCATTTCTGGACTTTTGAATTCATGGGGAAAATTAACTCATCACTTGTTTAATTTACAGTTTGTTGTGATTTCTCTTACTTGAAATTGAATACAATTGAATACAATTTCAAGTACATCTAGTACTATCTAGTACATCTCAAAGAAAATAAGGCTGATAAAGAAAAAACAAAATTTGTTTGTTGTATCCATAAAATAAGAATAGGCTATTAATGAAAATGAACCAATTATAAATCCTTAAATGAAAATATGTGGTGTAAAAACAAACTGAATGGACATAGCTCCAGAACAAATTAATGAGCTATGAGAGCAAGTTGAGAAAGTCTTCTGGATAACAGAAGATAATGATGTCTGAAACGACAAAACAAATGGAGAGCATGGGCACAGTTATATTAGTTTCTTAGGGCTGTAGTAACAAACTACCACAAACTGGGTGGCTTAAACAACAGAAATCTATTGTCTCAGTTCTGGAAGCTAGAAGTCAAGGATCAAAGTGTTGGCAAAAATTGTTCATTCTGAGGGCTTGGGGAAGAATCTATTCTATGCCTCTCTCCCAGCTTCTGTTGGTTTACTGACAACCTTTCGTATTTGTTGGCTTACAGATGCATCACCCCAATCTCTACCTTCATGTTCACATGGCTTTCTCCCTGTGTGTGTGTCTGTGTCCAAATTTCCACTTTTTATAAAAACACTAGTTATATTGCTTACAGATAAGAAACAATTGAAGAATGAAATATTTTTTTAAAAAATAAATAATGGTAGAAAAATTCCCTGAGCTGATGAATGACATGAGTCTGTATGTAGAAAGAATCCATTGAGTACTGGGCAAGATGAATTAAAAAAGACCCACTCCTATTCAAATCATGATAAAATTTGTCAGGAATAAAGACAAATTTTTTAAGTATCTAAAATAAAAAATAAAGATTATACTTCAAAACAAAAATTAGATGCACATCTGACTTCATATCAACATGACTAGAGGCAAGAAAACAATGGAGCAATAGGCTCAAAGTTTTAAGGGAAAATTATATTTGAACTAAGAAAAACTATAAGTCAAGTGAGATGGCAAATTAGAAATGATATCAGTTAGCAAGTGAGTAACTGTTGATCCAACTGCATCTCCATGAGCAGGACCTGATTAGTTCCAGCCAGTCAGAAAAATCCTGTTCTCTTGCTAGGGCTTGGCTCAGAAATGAGTAATGACACATTCCAGCTGAGACACCAGAGAAATTTGTTAGGCCTCTGGAGAAGTCCCTCCTCATTCTCCTTGGACTGGATCTCTTTTTCCCACTGGAGCAAACATGGAAAAATATCATCCATTGCTACCGCAATTACCCCACAGCCACAAAAAAACAAGATTTAAGATGAAACTAACACCCACATTGCCTTTCTTAACTGAGATTCTGCAGAAGAATTAAGGCCTACTGAAAATGACTTGTGTGACTATTTTCTCAGTTGTCCCAAGGATGATTCAGAACTAGGTAACATGCTAGATGCATAGAGGATAAACTAATGTATTACATTCGATGGATACCTTATGTCATTAGAGCTTAATTTCTAGAACTGGGGGGCAACACACTATGATCCACAGGGCAAATCAGCTCACTACCTATTTTATTGGAACCCCAGGCTTATTTGTTTACATATTACCTATGGCTACTTTTACACTACAAAGGCAGAGCTCAGTAGCTGTGAAAGAGATGGCCAAAAAAAAGTCTAAAATATTTACTATCGGGCCCTTTACAGGCAATGTTAGCCAACTCCACTCTAAAGAAACCTCATTGAGAAGGACTGTGAAGAGACTTGGTTTTGTCCATCTTGACCTTTGTCCCATTATCAGCAAGCAGCAGGGGGATCAGGCTGATGAGTTTTGCTGAGATGTTACTTCTGCCTGTCACTTCATTTATAACCCTATCACAGAGTTGTTATGGGGATTGAGTCAATACTGTAAAGCATTTAGAATGCTGCCTGGCACATAGTAAGCACTCAGTAAATGTTGGCTCTTATTCCAAACCCAATACCAACTACCATTTACTATTCTGCAGGTAGACAGTTTGGTCTGGGTTCAGTAGAATGATTCTTCTGATACTGGCCAGATTTGATCTTGCAGCTCCAAATAGCTATACATCAAATGTAGGCGACTCTGCTTCTCCAGGTTGCCTGGTCCAGGATGGTCCCACTTGCATGTCTAATAGGTGGCCAGCTGTCACCAGAGCAACTGAGCCATGTGGCATTTAGTCTCTTTTTTTTTTTTTTAAAGATTTTATTTATTTATTTGACAGAGAGAGACACAGCGAGAGAGGGAACACAAGCAGGGGGAGCGGGAGAGGGAGAAGCAGGCTTCCTCCTGAGCAGGAAGCCCGATGCGGGGCTCGATCCCAGGACCCTGGGATCATGACCTGAGCCGAAGGCAGACGCTTAACGACTGAGCCACCCAGGTGCTCCGGCATTTAGTCTCTTATTCCCCAGCAAGCTAGCCTGGCTTTTCACATGGTGGTAAGAGGGTTACAGAGGCTCTAAAGTGAGGATGGCTTCTTAAGGCCTAGGCCTGGAGCTGAAACCACCACTTCCACTATATTTTATTTGTCAGACACATCACAAGACCAGTTCATATTCAAAGGATGGGGAAATAGACTTCACTTCCTGATGGGAGGACCTGCAGAGTCACTCTGCAAAGGGGCATGCACACAGGGGAGAAGAATTGCAGTCATTTATATAAACAATCCACATTAAGTTAATATATCTTAACCTAAATTCAAATATCAAACAAATATTTAAGTACTTGATAAATGCCAATACTGTATGAAATGGTTTTGCTTTTCTCTTTCCTTTTGAAATTCAAAATTTTATTTGAACAGAATCCTTTTAGAAAGAAAAAAATAAATTCTTTTGCTCTTAGTAATTGTGTTTGTGGGAGGACATCTGAACACATGTTTTAACAAACCAAATTTAGCTGATTGATCCTCAGTCTTTTCCAACCACAGCAAAATGTTGAGCTTATTCTTGAATTTTAATTCCTCTTTAAATAAAACTACAAAATTAAATTCTAATTTTGCTTTAAATGCATAAAGTGATAGGTAATTTGATCTAAT